CTTTCCCTCCCTTCCTCCCTCCCGCCTGGGGACCACCCATCCCGATAGGCTGCCTCTAGTGACATCAGGCCAGTGGCCCCCTTCCAAACTCTTCTCTGAAAGTTTAGGGGCAGGGTCCTGGGAAGGAGGGTCCTAGATCGCTGCTTGATACGTTTGCGCACCTGCGCTCAGAGGGTCCATTTTGTGCGTCTTTTAGAGAATTGGGGTGTGGGGCAGTCAGCGGTAGAGTTTGGCGTCGCTTTTCTGTTTTGCGCAGCTCCCTCCCCCAGCGTTGTTTCTGTAGGCCCTACGGGAAGTCACCAAGGCAGTGACCCCAGTCCTGCTTCTCCAGCTGCTGTTTATGTAATGAGTGTCCTGGTGCCGCTGCTGTGGCTGACATGATCCATGATGCTGGCATACCAATGAGGAAGTAAACAAAAGCAGCCATGTTAGTTTTAAGCTGTATTGGAAACACATTGGGGAGGTGGGGGCCGCTTCCCGAGGGAGTCTTATCTGGACAAGGCCCGGACAGACAGCCAGTCACTGGACGGGGCCTCAGCTCCCGGGGTTGTTCCCGACGGCCGCTCTCCCGGTGTGAGAATCGCTGCCTGATGCCTGTGTCTTGCATGCGCCTGCATGAACAAACCTCAAAGTATGTGTCTTCATCACCCTGAGCCCTTTTCTCCCAGCCCAGCCCTCTCTCCCAGCCCTCCCACATTTGGAGAGGGGAAGTAGAAGACGGAAAAAGAATTCTGTGGGTTTAAGTTTGAGCCGCCTTGAAATCTGGTTCCAGGCAGCTGGCTCCCCTGGGCTGCCGGCGGCGATTACGGAACCGCATCCCCTCCCATCGTATACGCCCTGCAGCAGCGGCCAATGTCAAAACCGCCTTCCCCCTCAGGCCTCTGGGCCTGGTTTTGGAACTGGACTGAGGCAATACTTCCGGCCCGTTCGGTGGAGGGGGACTCCTCCTAGGGCCCTCCCAAGGCCCCTGGCTTTCGGAGTTGAGTCATACCAGAAGGAAAGGGTTGGCCTGAAGTGTCTGAGCCCTCTCAGAAGCCCCGGCTTGGGGCTGGGGTGTGATCATTGGGCGTGAGGTGGGGCTTTGGTGGGACTGGAGTGTTTATGGGTGGGGGCCCCTGGAGGCTAGATGAGGCCAGTGGGGAGGTTGGGTATGAGGAAGCTCTGAGCAGGGCCTGACTGTAGATGGGGGCAGTTTCCTGTGTGGGGGGGTGATCAGTCAGAATGACTCACTGGTTAGCAATGTAAAAACATACACATAAACCAAAAAAAGGCAGGAAGGCCACCCCAGCTGAGGGCAGGCATAACAAATAAAATCTGCTGTATAATTCGTTTCCAATCAGTGGGCTAGCTCAGGGGTTTTGCGCCGGGAGAGTCCTCTGGTTTCTTTAAAAAAAAAAAAAAAGAAGTAGGGGAGGGGGCCAGGAGCCACTCCCTCCCCCACTAGGGTTAGAAAGGAGAGGTCTAGGGGAAGTAGTGAACCCCGATGTCCTCCTCTCAGGGCAGGCACAGCCCACACTTGCCCCGTGTTGGGGAGCTGCTGCTATTAATAAAGGGGAGGCTGGGAAAGTACAGAGGCAGGAGGAAGGAGGGCTGTCCAGTTCTCGTTCTGGGATTGGCAGCGGAAAGCAAGAGGAGGGGACAGCAACCAGAACACAGCAGACGTGCGCACCCACAGTGCTGCCCACAGCTGGGCCTGGGTGCTGTAACGGGTGGGGGAGAAAGCACGATTGCACCTGACCTCGTAGTAGGGGGGTATCTTCAGGTGTGTGGGTATTTGCCCGTGCCTTTGAGACTCTGCTTTGCCCTCAGATGTACCTGTCTCCTGCCTGTGTAGTTGGGGGTGAAGAGGAGGTACAGGCATGCGGAGGGTGTCCTGGGCCTCTCCAGCAGACCCCCTAGTCTCCAGACTGGACCAGGTAGAAGGAGGCACCAAACCTGGTCAGCAGCTCCACAGGGTGTGGGTGTGTGTGTGCATATGTGTGTGTGTTCTTGCACATGGTGTGGGCAGGCTCAGAAGTTGTGGGTTGCATCGAGGCCAGATGTGTAATGCCGTGCACTCAGCATCTGTGCTCAGCAGCCCGGGTCTCATCCTCCTCCAGGTTCCCCACCCCAGACCCTTTGAGTCTCTCTGGTGCCCCGGGACACTGGAGCTGGAAACCCTTCAGTAGTTCAGTCAATGTCACTCAAGTATGAGTTTGACTCATCGAATGTGGAGGAATAGGAGCCCTGCCCGCGGGGAGGGAGTGAGCAGGGGGAACCTGAATGGAAGAGCCCTTCTCTTTGTGCCCTCTTTAGGCCAGACGGGCAAGGGGCCCGTCCTGACCCCTTTTCCCTGCAGAGAAGCCTGGAGAGGGGCCTGTCCTGACCCCTTTTCCCTGTAGAGAAGCCTGGAGAGGGGCCTGTCCTGACCCCTTTTCCCTGCAGAGAAGCCTGGAGAGAGTCTGCCTTTCATTCCTGCCACAGGACCCTCTGGGATCTAGGAGAGGCGCAGAGCCCAGGCACACTCCTGGCAATCCAGACCCTGCTTCTTGGACTTCCAGTTCTGCCCTCCCCAGGAGGCTGCTGGCAACATCTTACATGTGGCCGTGGGGTCAAGAGGTGTGCCTGTGCGTTGTGCGTGTGTGTGTGCAGGTGTGAAGGGCCTGTGTGCCATCCTGCTGATACCTGCAAGGTAGAGTGTGCACGCGTTGCTGTCGCCAGTATGACGTGGTGTGAGTCTCTGCTCGGGGGGCTGTGGAGGTGGTGAGTTCAATCTGCTGGAAGTAGGCGCCCCTGCCCAGCCCTCCCCCTGGCCCCACCTCACATATGCACAAACACTGCCTGTGTACATGGGCCAACGGCCTGGGGCAGGGCTTCCAGCCAGCCGGGGGAGGAGAAAGGACTCTCAGAGTCAGGCCTGTGGGGGTCGTTGAGTCACTCTGCCCTTGGGAAACCACATTGGTTTCCCAAAGCCTGGAGGCCCACTGCATGGGCCCCAGAGACCTCTCTCTGAGACAGGCCTAGACCCTAAATATGTTCTCCCTTTGAGTGGCGGGGGGCTAGGGGGCTAAGCGCTCAAGATTCAGACATCCATGTGGGCTCTGGCACCCCTGGGTGGTCAAAACCTCTTCCAGCCCCCAGGTTCAGGGGTTCATCTGAGCCACAGGAGAACTGGTAGGAGATGAAAGCATCCTTATCTCATGACCTCCCTCAGCCTGGAACAGAGACCCAAGTGAAGGCCTCACGTGTGCAAAGGGCCGTGTGGGTGTGCGTGCACGCGTGTGTGTTCAGGGCTGTATCTGCTTGCGTTTCTGCCTTCATGTTTGTGCTTCTCTTCATCCCTAATACCCCAGGTCCAGGCCAGAAATGTTGGGACCCGATTCTTTGATCCTCATAGGTCCAGAGTTGAGAAGAGGTGTTCTCTGGGGAGCGTCCTATTCCCTAGGCCAGTTTGGGGTTTGCAGCTGCTCAGGATGGTTGCTCACACTGCCCGTGGCTAGGGTGGGGGTTGCACTAGAATTCTGGAAGGACTCCTGGGGCTCCACTCCATGTGTCTGTCTCTGGGTGGGTCCTCTGGGCCCAGCTCTGCTGGGGTTGGGGTTTCACTCCAGGAGCACAGATTCTATTGCCCTACCCCCTCTTCCAGCAGGCCAGAGTCCTGAGACCTTAGATGGGGTGGAGAGGCCGGGGTGTGTGTGTGTGTGTGGGTGTGTGCGCGTGTGTGTGAGTGTGATGCGAGAGTCAGTAGCTGCCCATTCATTGGTCATCCCAAGTCTGCCTGGAAGAGAGGCCTGGCTTAGCCTTCCTCCCTGGGCCCCAAGAGGGCCTCAGGCAGAGGCCCAGCCCCCCACCCCCACCCCAGGATCCTGCTGACACAGCTGGGAGCCTGTCATGCACGCCCTATTGATTAGTCTGCCTCCTGCAGCCCTGGGTGGCCATGCATCCCTCTGTCTGCAGGTGTGTGTGCGTAGCCAGCGTGTCTGGGTTATATATCTCACATGTAACTAATTTTTTGTGTCTCACATGGGTATTTGAGAAGGGACCTGGTGAGTGGCTGACTTAATTATCTAGTTGTCTTGTGTGTGGTTTTGAGGTCACATGCGTGTTGTGTGTGTGTGTTGTATGTGAGTGTGGAGGGTGTCTGCATGCCGCACCTGCTGTGTATCTGCTAGGTAGAGTCTGTGCGTGTGTGGCTGTTGTCAGCGTGACTGTCAGTGTGTGGGTACCTGCTCGCTGGCTGCTGGTGGCTGTGAGTCTACCAGGGGCATGCAACTGACTTTGCCACCTGGTGCGGTGTCGGGAAGGGAGGGAAAGATGGATTCACCTTAGGGCCAGCTTGTTGCCTGCGCTGGGTATTAGGGGTCAGATTGAATGGGCCCTGCAGGGGTGCTCTGGGAGCAGTCTGAGTGGACATGAGGAGCTGGATGTGGGCCCTGCGCTGGGCTGAGCAAGCAGGCCTGGCTGGCCCGTCCCTGGCTCTGGGGAAGCCTGCCTTCCCGGCTGGCCTGGCATTCAAGCCCAGACAAAGGGGGGCTTTCTCTCTCGCCTCTTTGTTCTGCTGCCCCAGAGCGCTGCTCTCTGCATGGCAAAAGCTAATTCCACTCTGCAGCTGGGAAGCCCTCTCTGGGGTCTGCAGGGCACGCCTTGCCTCCGAGGTGCAGCCTCTTCCTCGCCTGGGCTTCTGCCTGTAGCCCCTTCTCTGTCTGGGTCTGTGGCTTCCCCAGGCGGAGGTTCACGTGGTAGCCCAAGGCAGGGGCCGAGACATGGACAGAGGGGTTAGGGCAGGCAGAAGCTTCTCTGAGAGAGGGGTAGAGCTCTGTGGCAGTGGGGGGTGGGAGGATCGCACACTCCTGGGACAACGGCTAAGGGCCCCGTGGGAAGCAGGGGACAGGGGAGGACGCTAGGGTGGTGCTGCTCTGAGCAGGGGCAAGATCCAGAGCTGGGGCTGGCTGGCATGAGTGTCATCTGGCCAGGGACCTGAGCAGAATGAGGGACTCTGGCGGCCTGCTACCCCACCCTCTCCCGCTACCACGGGGGCTGTTGAGCCATTCCCGGCCGCGCCTGAAAAGCCAGGGCCTAGGGATCAGCAGTTAGCGTAATGGCTATGTCGCTGGACTCCCACGTAGTCGACCGTGGTTCGAGTCCCAGACCCGGTGGCTTAAACTCATGCCGGGCGTGTGTGCGTGCGTGCCCAAGATCCCGAGAGGAGAATGGAGGAGAAGGGATTGCAGCGTGGCCATCCCCCCTGGGGGG